GCTTTCTCTTACTCTCCCCCACTCCTTTTACTAAAATTTTAACCCTCTAATTTTTTAAATTTTTTCTATAATTTCTCTACAAATTATCACATCTTACTACAAATTTTCACATTTCAATCAATTTTTCAACTAATTAGAACCTAAATTTACATTTTCTCATATCAAATTAAATATATAAAATGTGTCTGAACTGATTATATCTAATTTGACTTATATTTAACAAATTGCATTTATTTGATTGAATATTGGTTATATGTTTCTTTCGATTACTTGAATTGATTGTTTGTATCAAATGCATTGTAAATTTTCTAAACGTAAATATGATTTTTTTTCTTGTGATGAGCAAAATATTAATAAAATGATTGTTCGAAATCAAATAGATGAAAATGATGAGCAAAATATTAATGAAGAAATTTTTTTAAATGTAAATCTGTATTTTCTCGAGTCAAGTAAGGATCGTTCAAAAATTAAGAACAAAGAATTTGATTTGCATATGGTTTGATTGTGTCCCCAAATTCAAAATGTCTACTTCCCAGAACACATGGGGGCTTTATAAGTTTTTAAATAATCTCTACCAAATGGAGATGAAATCATGCACATATACACATCCATGGATGCGTTGATTATTTCCATATTCCATATATGCCGGTAGGAGGGATCATAATAGACGGAAAAGACAGACATACCCCGTTGAAAATTGTCAAAAGGATAGACAGATCCGCATTAATAGCTTCACGAATTTTAAAGATGATTAAAAGTGAAAATAAAAAAAGCATTGACAGAAGAAAACGCAGGTATTGTTGGGTCTTGACTTTACAGGTTGGGTGACTAGAACTGAATCTTCCTCACCAACTTGCATTTAATAATATTCACAAGCAATCCTCTCCCCTCCCCTCCCCTACGCTACCATGTTTAGAAATGTGTAATTTGGAACACTACTTAAAAAAAAAACTTTTGTATGCATTCGTGTTAGGATCAAATTTATAGAAACCGTAGATTCTACGAAATTTATATATTTGTTGCAAAATAGTTCTTATTAGTTAATTTGAGTGGTACGGAATTAGAGTGTCAAGACATACAAAGGTTCGAAACATTCTTTAAGCGAGGGTCTTGTTAAAAATGGAATCACCATCACTAAACTAGTCCTTTTTTTTTTTTTAAATGTCTTGAGAAATTTGTGTTTGTTTTGTGGATGTATTTGTATTTAAGCCATACTGAGATTTCTTTTTACTAGATCAAGTACCATTGTATTACGTAAAATACTAGTTTTGAGTGACTACAACAAAAACCACATTATTTATACTCTCATAATAGATTTTGTTACGTCTCGCCACCTAGAGTCCAAGTGTTCAAGTGTGATAATTGAGTGACTACAACATAATCCACATTATTTATACTCTCATAATAGATTTTGTTACGGCTCGCCACCTAGAGTCCAAGTGTTCTAGTGTGATAGTCCACTTGGAGATATGAGTCAAAGATGACAAAATCAACAAAAACCCCAATTGGTCGAAGTAAAGAAAGTCGAAGCTATCCATCCTGAAACTCTTCATGCCATAGACCTCTAATCCAAAGCTCGTTTTGGCCGAAGCCCTCGCTAGCTTTCAGAGGATCTAAAGGCAATCTGTAGGAATGATTGATGCAACGTTTGTAATAATTAATTTCAGGATTGTTAGCTTAGGACGTAGGGTGGCTGACTCGTTATTAATGTATTAAATACGTAGCAGGCTAGTGATGTGAGGTTTCAACCTGGGAAACGTTACAATGTGATTCTTATCCATCGGTTACCACTTCGACCAGAACTCTATAAACAGTAACTCTTGTAGCATTTGAATCTAATGCNAGAGGATCTAAAGGCAATCTGTAGGAATGATTGATGCAACGTTTGTAATAATTAATTTCAGGATTGTTAGCTTAGGACGTAGGGTGGCTGACTCGTTATTAATGTATTAAATACGTAGCAGGCTAGTGATGTGAGGTTTCAACCTGGGAAACGTTACAATGTGATTCTTATCCATCGGTTACCACTTCGACCAGAACTCTATAAACAGTAACTCTTGTAGCATTTGAATCTAATGCAACTCTTTATACTTATGTACTTGAGTTTAGATTCCTTTTACATTGGTTGAGTTGTTTGTGATCGTTTATTAATATGCAATCATCTTTAATCTTCGCCGATGTCTAAATATTTTTTGTCTCACGTTATAAAGCACCTTCCACGTTCATAAACGCAACCTTTTTTGTCCGAGTTTTCGGTCAAAAAGTGTTGAAATTTGTTTACGTGAACGCTAGTGGACTAGGTATCTATTGTCCACGTCACCCTTACACAAAATAGGGTTAACAGATTTCATATACAATACACCATTAAAAGGTGACAATATATCACTACAAAAATTTTCACTTTTGATGATGAAAATTTTTACTTGAAAATCTTTTCCGGCAATCGTTTTTCGACGAAACAACTCAAAAATGACTTTACAAAAAATAAAATAAAAAAATTCATTGTTAATAGTGAAATTTTCATAGCGTATAATGCATTGTTTCATTAAAAGAAAATCCATAGTATTGTGAGCCAGCAATAGGCATTTAGAATGAGAATAATTTCATAGATCGATTATCATTGTTTTCGACCTTCATTTTTTGATTCTTAAACGTGTTTATCCTTTAAGACTAGAGTATTCATCCATAATCTGATTGAACATATGACGAAGCAAAGGTTGGGAAGGTATCATTCAAATAACATCTTGAAAAGGCGAACCCAAGTCAAATAGCAATGATTCGAAGCACTTCTTTTAAAATTATTTTGGAAACCCAAGGACACAATCGTATGGATATGTAAAATACAGAATTTCCGATCCTAACAGAAAAGGGAGGGAAACATATACTTGATTTAAAGTGAGTAAACATAATTTCATATACTCGATCTCAAAAATACATATAGAATTCTGCAGAAAGGCAATCTTGTTTTCATTTAAAATTAATCCATTCTAGACTGGGATCTCGAAGGAATTGATCATGGAGGCTACTTTTTCATGCTTGAATGTGTGAAAAATGGAAATGCAAAAGAAAAATCACAAGAGTAGATGGCCTTTTTCCATGTCCAATTTTGCTTGGACGGCTGAAATTTTTCTCAAGATGCTCGTGAATTCAAGTGTTTTACAAGTTGAAACGCAAAACTTATATGCTTCCTTTTTCTAAGTCAATAAATTTATTGACAATTCACACGAGCAGAGAATAAAGTGTTTTCACGCAACAAAAAATGTCACTACAATTAGGACAAAGCCATCAACACGCATATTGGGATGACAGATAAGCCATGAATTTTATGAAACCATTGACAAAGATCTCAATAATTAAATATTTGTGACAGTCGAACAATATCGAACAAATGTAACAAGCTGGGCAAACTAAGGCAAAACAAATGTTCTAAATTTGTCCATTATGTTCTTCGATTTGACGTTGATCTTGAGAATAATCAGAGAATGATCAAGACGTTATCTAAAAATATCGTCTTGCTTCAGTTTTATATATTTGAGAAAAAGAAAATATACGAGATGACATATATTCACTAAGAAGTATTACACACGACTTCACTTATAATTAGGGGAAGAAAAAAGAAGCTAAAACGTTACTTTTCAACATTTTAGTGTCTTCAACTTTTAAATTTGAAAATGAAATCCTCATCATTTCAGTTTCATTGCATGATGGTCTTTGAAGACTAGAAGTATGAATATAACTGTATTTTAATTAATAAATTAAATCATTTAGTATATTAAATCTTGGGCTTCAAGGTTAAGAAAAAGTTCAATATATTATGGAAGAAAAATTATCTTTCATTGTTTGGATAAAAGGACAGAAAATTATGTAAATTTTCAAAATTCAAATAAGAAGAAATTTTGGTGGGCAGGTGAAAATTTACTCACTTTCCCTTTTTCATTTTGTTTCCCAAAACCTCTGAATGAGTTGTTTATTGAAGAAAATTATGCATTTGTTGATTAGGTTGGACAGGAATAGTCAAATAGGCAAGTGGGGACCTAGATTCTTAGAGATGAGTTTTTTACCCTTTTGTTTTTTGGATTTAGTTCTTGGGATTTCAAGAAATTAAAAGGGGTTTTAATATATCAGTCAGATTGTAATAACAATTGATTTAGACAAAAATATAGTTTAGTAATTGTTCAAGCCAATAATTCCAAGTCTCAACTTAAACAAGGGACAATTTCTGTTGATTCTTGACATGAAGAGTTTTGTTTTCTTCTCTCCTAGATCACCTACACACACGAATGCAATGCAAATTCTGATGGCACTGGTCTTTTCATTCAATTATAGAACGAGGTTATGTGTCATGACGTGTTCTTGCTGAATTCTTATACATTCTTTTAGCTAAATTTAGCCTTTGTTCGGTGTAGTTAAAAAAAATTACTAAAAATTTAAGTAAAAAATATTAATTAATTTTAATCAAACGTCTTATCAATTTTAATCAAAATCTATAAAAAATATCTTATTTTTAGCCACACTAATTAAACATGGGCTTATTGTATATGTTGGAATTTGCTTCAACCATCTAATAGAATTCAGAAGTATTTCATTGTGTCATAAGTTACTATCACTATTTTTAGCTATCAACTAATTTTTACATTTTTTTTTTCAAGTGATTTCTCATGTTCATGGACATAAATCATCATACATACACATGTATGAAGGACATCATGCATGTATGACATGTAGAGAGAGAGAGAGAGAGAGAGAGAGAGAGAGAGAGAGAGAGAGGGGTCTTGGTTATATTCTCAAACAAGGATTTTTCTTTCCCAATTCTAACAACCCTCTGCAGGTGTTATTCTGCTCTCTTGATAAGAATAAATTTCCAACTAATATGCAGCTCTAAGCTAAAAGTAAGACCAGATCACATCATTTCACAAATTTGGTGACAACGAGAATCCTTCAAACCCTTTCTACAGACAACGATTTTCTTCTGAGATTAGACGAGACGAGTTTGATCCAGCATGGAAAATTCCAACACAAGCAGCCTGAAAAACCCGTTTGAAGATGAAGATGGGATAGATAAAACTGCAAATGAAGGCAAACCCATGTATGAAAACAGCACAAGCAACGGCACAGTTGAAGAGAATGGTAAAAATGCGAATTCTGGATCTATAAGACAGTACAATCGATCGAAAACACCTCGCCTTCGATGGACACCAGAGCTCCACCTTTACTTTGTTCATGCAGTCGAGAGACTAGGAGGACAAGAAAGTGAGTACTTCAAATTTTCTTAACCTAATTAATTAATTTTCTAATATTTCCCACAAATTAATGTTCTTTATATGTTTTAATTTACTTAATATTGGTGCAGGAGCAACTCCAAAGTTGGTTCTTCAATTGATGAACATGAAAGGCCTTAGCATTGCTCATGTCAAGAGCCATCTTCAGGCAACTATAATTAATTTGGCAATTAATTATCAGAATTTTTCTGCTTTATTTTTTCTTTAGATTCAATTTAATTTTACAACTGAATCTTTGGATTGATGTTGTTTGATCAGATGTATAGAAGCAAGAAGATAGATGACCCTAATCAAGGTACGAAATTTTGTCATCTATACATAACATAAAACTAGGGTTTCTAGGGAACCTCTTCTAATTTTTGCCGGAAATTTCATGATCAGCAGTTATTTCGGAGCAGCGGCTTCTTCTTGATGGTGGAGATCATCATATTTATAACCTTAGTCAGCTTCCTATGCTACAAACTTATAGTCAGACACCTATTTCAAGTTTTCGGTATGTATAAATTGTGAATTGCATATGGAATATGGACATTTTTGACTTTTTTTTAAAACTTTTTCAAGCCCTAATTCCATTGTTATCTTGTTAAAAAGCTATGGAGATGCCGTTTTGAGTCACCGTACCAATTCTGTTTATAGTCCTACTCACAACGGATCAAGTAGTATAACAGGAAATGGATTGTACGGATCAGTTTCTGAGAGGATTTGTAGGAGCAAGGGATATATACAGGGTTCTGATTTTCACATGAATAAGCAAGTGCCCTGGCGGGGAACCCTTGAAAATAATCAGAAAGAGCAAGAAAGAGCACTCCCAAATAATTTTTTTTGGCAAACTCAAGTTGGGATAAGCTTAACAAACCCAAATCTCAGTAGCAAATTACAAGATAGAGGGCATGAAGGCACAAATCATTTTCAAACCTCTTTCCCTCGAAGCGAAAAGACTCCAGTGGTGGATCAAGAAGGTACAAGCCCATTGAAAAGGAAGTTTTCAGAGGTGAATCTTGATCTAAATTTATCACTAAAATCGACATGCGAAGTCGAGGGGAGTAATCATTCAAGTTCCAAGAATGATGCAGTTGATAGTAGCTTATCTCTGTCCTTGTTTTCTTCATCCTCAAAGGAAAATCACAGAAAGCATGAAAGAATGGCGACTAGTACTTTAGATCTGACTTTATGAATGAGACAATTTCTAAGTGAGATTTTGAGTACTTGTCACTGCTATTATGCACAGATTTTTATTGTGAGGTAATATCTTTCCACTACTTTGTCTTTTCTTATTCTTGATCTGTATGCAAAGAGATGGGATAATTTAAAATTTGCCTAATTGTTATAATCTAAGCAAACGCTATGTAATATTTTTCTCAAATATAAAATCTTTACATCGGGAAAAGGGTCTAAATTAAAGACATTATACAGATCTTTCTCCCCAGCATTTCGAATATTTGCTTAAACTTGAATTAAAATATGGAATAATAATGAAACAGCAATTTTAGGTGCTGTATCTAGTTTTCTAAAATGATTTTTGTGTGAACTTTTTAAGTTGTGGATCTCATGAAACATATAGTTGAAAACGAGTTTTAAAAAATGAGGGTCAAATAGTAACTATGTAATAATAGACATTTTGGCTTTATGAAAACATTGATATGCTCGGGTTTTCAATTGACATGCATAAATTTCATAATCTCCTTCCTATGCCTCTTTGTACTCTTTGGTTAGAAGCTCCATCACAGGGGAAGGAGTTTAATAGCCACAATCCAATAACAAAATTTATGATGTTATACTTCCAAATCAAGTCATAACCTTTATGTTGTTTTCACCCTTTTCTTCACACATGAATTTTTGCATGTCTTGAGAGATTTTTAATTTGTTTTAATTTTTTCTCTTAAGTGTAGTGGAAGTTACATGGAGGTTGAGGGTGATGGAAGGTTAGTTTCAAATTCAAAATTTAACTCCTCCCTCCAATAAACCGACCCATGCAACCGGGTCGGGTCAACCCACATGGACGAACCGTTTTCTTCCAACATGTGGTTCAGCAAAATAACAAAAAATCCTAGGTCATAGAAATAATTATAAGTTGTCTAAACAGTGAGATTATGAAAGCTTAAAATTTACTATCCACACAAATTTGTCCAGAACCAGTGAACGAGGCTAGACACTTTACAATGGTTATACTATCGTGTATCTCTTTGCTAGGTGGATGGCTTGTCTCGTCCATGCAAAGTAGAGACTTCTAGATAGAGATCGTAATGCACTTAACATGCTTTTGGACGAAATCTTGTAAGATTTAATACTTAACAGTCCATGAGAATTATATCCAATTTAATCACTTGATGAGCTCATAAGCTTGACATTTTTGAGATGTCAATCAATAATTAGTTTAAAAATAATCAATACCTCAACATTTTGAGTTCGTACTAAAAAGAGAGTCAAGTGCTCATAGTTCATAATCCACTCTTTTCATTACCTCGACATTCACTTGATTGCATAAAACTTACTAGCCGCATGATTAGTGTCCACCTCTACATGTTCTTCTGGTTTTGTATATATTTTGGATTGAAAATACATTAAATAATGGAGTTTGTTGGTGTAGTGATACATTCACTCCAACTCCAAGTCTTCGTCTTTATATATCTCACAGAAGGTTTATTCAAACATGCCGCTCTAGGGATTTTGAACTTCTAACTCATCTTGAATACATCACGATGATCAATGTACGTCGATCACTTTATCAAAGATTTCTTCAAATTTAATATAACTTCGAACCAACAATATTATGGTCTTCCTTCCTTTTCAATTCCACGATGATGATCATTCTAAATCTCCATTACGATATATTACACTGTCAACTTTTTCACGACATAAAATGTATTTACAATGTATTAAGAACTTGAATTAGTGCAAGATTAAAATAATTGAGTTAAGTAAAGATATAACTAAAACCCAGCGGGTCAATTCAAAAGACTAACCCAACTTGACTATGCTGGGAAAGTTGCCAAACACGTTAAATGGAAAATTATGAGGTTTTCAATTGTGACACTACAAGGAAAATGGCACTTTGCAACATGTAAATAACAACATGTATTAATTGTGGAGTTTAAAAGGGCTGTGTTGCAACAGTCATTAAATGTATATTGTTTGTTGGTTAACTCAATTGAGATTTGACGACATTTTCTAATGTGTATTGCTAATATGTCATTTTCCAACATTTGCGGTCCATTACCATTAATAATTTAGCAACACATTTACATTTACACTTTACCATTTATGTTTTAGCAACATCCAAATGTCGTTCAATCTACATTCAAACTACTTGTATAACCATGAGATTGTTATCAAAGCTGAATATCAATGTAAAAACATACACGATAGGACTTTTTCTCACATAATCCCTCTCCGAGGGTTCGCCCTAGGCCACCAATCGGCCACCACGGTTGTGTTGGAATTTATGGGTTAGTTAACGATTAAAATGTGTAAATTAGAAAGGTCTCCAATAGATGTGACAAATGGACGTGACTTTTCAAATGTAAAAGTGCATATTGAAGAGTTATGATTCTTCAGATTGGGTGTGACTATTCAAAGAGATGTACAATGAAAAGTCAAAATCTTTTAATAGGGTACAGTCTAAACAACTAGATCATATCCCAATGTGAAATTGTTTGATATAATGGTTAAAATGATATTTTTGTCAAAATATGTGACCATTAAGAAGAGACATGTTAAATCTATAAATGAGACTTCTCTAATTCAATTTTTCTTCACTCCAAATCTACAAAATATACAATTGGCATAGGCTTTCGCCATATCAGATTATCTTCTACGAAATGACTTAACCAAATTCTAATTTGAAGAAGGCAACACAACCCTCGCAATCTTGAGGTGGATCTAAACTTTAATAAGAATTTAATGCAAACACAATCCTACCTTATAATTTTGGGTGGACTTAGTTTAGCAACATAATCTTCATTTAACAATATAAAGTTTGATAAACAATCTTATTTCATCTGGGAATATCATTATCTTGTGAAAGTCTATGTACTTCTACATTTAACGATATTGCAATCCCATTTAGAACTGTCATTGGCCTAACTTTAATTGGGCATACAAACATGACTACCTTCATCACATAGACCTAAATCGAGATCACAAGTCGTATTACGCTGGTCAAATCACGAAACACGCCTTGTTGGAAAAGAACAATGCATGCAAAATATGCAATCAAAAAGTTTAAGCCTAAATTTTGATAACAACATATATCCAGAATATAAAATTTGCATAAACGAATAATATGCTCACACTTATAAGATCTGACAATTTCTTTACTGGATGCAGAAATATCATTTTCTATGTATATGAAACAATATTCACATTGTAAGTAAAGTTTTCGCCTTAACACAAAGCAATCAATCATGCACATACTGCAATGAATGTACTTATTTTCTCAAGCAGTATATTTATAAAAAATTGTACATGAAAAAGTTTTGTGCAAGTTTAGAACCGTACAAAATGAATATAAATGCTATAAGAATTTTGCATAATAATTTATTTAAATAAGTACAGAATTCTAAATAGAATTTCAACTTGTATCATGTAACACAGAATATAAAATGCAATGGAACATAAGATTGTTGTCAAATTAATTACTAGTACAATAAAAAGAAGATAACAAAATTGAAGATAAAATTAGAGTTTTCAATAAAGTTAGAAGGAAGTATAACGACTAAAAAATTTCGAAGGATTTCCTAATTGGTGAGAACCTGTCTGTTATATGATTTGATTGAGATAGCTAGCTACAAATGGAATGACACAAAACGTCGTATAAAATAGTACATCTCGACATCTACGTCGTAAACATAATATAATTTGACATTTACTTTCAAATAGAACAATATCGATTATTTTATCGAAGAATAACCTAACAAATAGGTTTACAAAGAGATTATCTAGATAGTGTACTTGTAGAACCCAAGAAAGTTCATGGCAAAAATAATGAAAATAATAGAGAAATAAAGTTTAATACGAGAGATCATTATATCTATTTCCCAAGCTTTAAATAACAATCGACATTTTAAAACGTTACGTTCGCTGATTAGCCAAGTGAGTTCAATAGATTCTTACTAAGGAAAGCTCAAAGCTAAAGCTACCTATCCTAATGTGGAGGATTGCTAGAATTTACAGGTTAGTTAACGATTAAAATGTGTAAATTGAAAAGGCCACCGATGGGTGTGATAACTAGAGGCAACTTTTCGAATACAAGGAGCACATATTAAAGAGTCATGATTTTTCAGAATGGTGTGACTATACAAAAAGGCGCACAACGAAAGTCATAACCTCGTGATAATGTGTGATCTAGACCACTAGATCATGTCCCAATCTAAAATAGTGCGATATATGTGGTTAAAATAATTATTTGTCAAACGATGCAACCATTAGGAGGAGAAACCAATAAGTGTATTTTGTATACTTATTGAAGCCGTTAAATTAGAATATTTGTTGATGATTTTTATGAATTATGGTTTAATTCTTTGTAAATTGTGCTTTGTAAGTAAATATCGATGATTATGGCAGAATTGGAGAAAAAGAATGAAGAAAAGGGGCTAAATTACAAGAAATTCAAATTTAGGGACTAAAGTGCAATAAATCAAAAGTTATGTCAAACCCCAAGATGAAGAGTCAAGAGTAATGAGATCATTTGGACAAAAAAAGAAGATTAATGACTGAAAACAAATGAAAGAGGACAAAAGTACATAATGAAAAAAGTTTAGGGACCAAATTCCTGAAAATAGACCCATGTGATCGCATGGGCCTACAAACCATGCTATTGCATGGTACATATGCAGAAAAATTGAAGCCAAACTTCATGAACCATGCCATCACAAGACATATAGCCATGCGATCACATGGCTTTCTAGCTATGAAATATTTTATTTCATTTTTTTCTTGATTCGACAAATTTTAATTTGATGTCTTTTGCATCCTTTATAAGCAAAATGCTAGACGAACGCGAGACACCTAGTTTTTTATTGTAGAATTGGGGCTAACAAGAGGCGAACAAGAGATTCCACAAAAAGATTTGAAGTTTCATAGCTCCAATTAAAGATTGAAATGCAAGAAATCAAGTTTTTGACTCTTACATCTATTTCTTTGTCTCGAGTGATGCCTTTTCATATCTTTTTATGT